AGAGATAGCGGTTCTTCATAGCTTCTTCCTTTTGCCCCCACTCTACAGACTAAATGCTAAACCATAACAACGAATACCGTCATCTCTCATGGCCAAAAACGTCACCAATCCAAACCACATAACAGCTGCACAATAAATCTCTACACCAGGGGTCTCAAACTCGCGTCCCGCGGGCCATTTGCGGCCCACAAGACGATATTTTGCGGCCCGCTACATGACAGCAAAGTTTAGTGTAATGCGGCCCGCGAGCTTTCCCCATTCTCACAGAAACAATGTGACCCTCCGCGAAGTTTCAGTCAAATCTCAGCGACTAGTATAAATCTGATTTTATTTTTGTGATTGAATAGATTTGGACGTTAATTATAATGGTAAAAACCGTTTTAAAACCGGACTAAACGTTTTTATTTCATAGCATTTTATGAGACAAACATGGCGGCCAAAGTGCGGTTTTGGGAAAAGTTTAAAAAGTCAGTTAGTGGGTAATGCACAACCATATTGGTGTAAGTCGTAGCAATCTGACACAGTATCAAAGAATCCCTGTTAAAATTGCCCTTACTGTAAACGAGTGAGAGAAATCTAAGCATGTGAGCTTGGTTCCATTTCAAAATAGGTTTAGCCAAAAAGGCTTTTTCTACGATAAAAAAAAATCAAAATTCATTCTCCATTCAATAGCTTCTTCCGTCACATCAATAATTCATAAATATGGCCTTCTCCTGCCTACTGTCTGAACCCCCATTTTAGCATTTTAAGCCTTCATGGAGAAGGTTGGTGTGGTTTTTCCTGTACTAAGTGATCCCAAATGGCTTCTGGACTTGGCTTTTTTTTCCCTTTTTAAACCTTAATCTTCTCTCTACCAAAATTCAATATTTAGTCTGATTTTAAAAGTGCCTTTTTGATAGCATGTTCCCGCAAGTGACAGAGCTTGTCGTGCATAAAGACTCTGAAGGCCTCTAGGTTTGTCACCACTTTGTCAAGAGTAAAGCCTTAGTCTGCAGATATTGCTGTGTAAGATTAACTTCCTCAAGTAGATTAGCCCAAAGGTAATGATAGCCGATAAACGTGAAATCACAGACAGCATGCAAAAGACCTTGTGCTGTACCTCTTGTATCCAAATTTTGAATCAACGCCACACATTCATCAAACTCATCGTTCACTGTTTTAACAGTGAAATGATGAGCATTCCAACGAGTTGTTGACAGTCTTTTCAAAGACATTCCAGTGTTTAAATTAGAAAATTCCATCGATTAGTGGATGCAGCAAAGAAGGAAAATATTCTTTCAAGAGTACCGAAAAATGTAAAACATTAAGCATTTTCGGTACCGGTAACAGAGTGTTGACCACACAATTTAAGCGAATAGTGCACACATCCATTAAAAATCGCTTTCATATTATTTCTTTTCAGAAAGGCCTGAACACGTCCATGGAGTTGAAACATTTTGGCAGCATTATCGTAACCTTGAGCTCTGAACATCATTAGGTCTAGTCCATCACGTTATAGATTTGTAAGAATGTTCAAACTGAGGTCATCAGCTTTTTCCCTCTTAACGGGAAAAATGTGAGAAACACTTCTCTCACTTCAACTTTCCCATTGTGGATTTTCCCATATCTGATCACTTTAGACATCTGGTCACTGTGTGATATATCAGGTGTACTTTTGAACATGATTAAAAAATACCTCACAGCTTTTATATCCATGATAGAATCTCCTTCACATGATTTGGAAGGACATTTATAAATTCATTTTGGATTTCTGGTGAAAGGTAAAATGCGGCTGCTTTTTCTGTAGATGTACTACTCTTTGGTCTCATTTATTGCTCTTTTAGCACTGGGTCATATTTAGATAGTATCTCAACTATTTCTAGAAAGTTTCAGTGAAGATTCATCTTCTTTGTGGCCACGAAATGCCAGATTTTGCTTTGCAAGAAACAATGTGACATCCACCAAATGCTAAGGGGCGATACTAGTGACGAATCGGGGAAAATATTTATTTTTTAGTATTTCTGGGTTTCGATTTATAATATTATATATATCTTCAAAAAAGTTTGTTTAATTTAAATAAATAAGAATTAATCATTAAAAGATTGAAAATTGTGTAAAAATAATATAGGCCTATTTTGTAACCCTATAAATGGGTAAAAATTCATTTTCAATGTGTTTTCTTTTTACCGACATAATCGTATTTGGTATCAATGTAAAGCCCAATTTCTCCGAATTCAGATAAATATAGCATCCTGTCACTTACGCAAGTTACAGAAATTTCATTTGTAGTGGAATAATGACTGTGTTTCTGACCTAAACATAAGGTCATCTCATTTCTGACGCATGAAACTTGAACTTTTAATAAAGCACGCATTTGGATTGGTTACATTTGTAAAAAATGTATGCCTGATCTGTTATCCTTTTATGTTTCTAGGTTAGACCGAGCTCTGTAAATATGCAATTTTTCAATCGGGTGTCACCCCTAAAATGGTGTCACCCGGTGCGGTCCGCACCCCCTTCGCTACGCCACTGCCTAAAAGCACCCCTTCCCATCCCGGGATGACGTCAGGCGCCCTCAAGTAGAGATTTTGACATATGTTGCTACTTTATGATTAGGGCACATCGCAGCTGGGACGAAACGGTTGCCTACGAGCAGCCCCCTCACAGGCTGCATGATAAGAATCATCAGCATGGGTTGCCACAACCCACCCATGCCTCATATCCATTAATGGCAACATGTAATCTTATCCTTATTTGCGTTTCTGGCGTTATTCTCAACTGTATTTGGATGCTCGGCAGACACGCGTATTCTGTCCGTTCCCAAGACACACACTAAAACACATCGTGAACGATCTTTCTCTTTCTGCGCCCCCCAAACCATGGAATTCTTTGCCACTACACATCCGCAATATACCAACCACCCAGGCCTTCAAAACTGCACTCAAAACACATTAAACTCTTTAAAACTATACTACCCTGACTGATTCCCCTCCTCTGACCGATAAACGATCCTGCTGGCTGCCGTCCATGGTTCAACATGTACAATTTCTAGGGTGGGTGAATATACATTTAATTTTGTTTTTGGTCACGCGCTGTTCTTTATTTCATAAATGTATGTATTTTAATGTCATGATTATGTCTCTTTTGCTAATATTTGTATGCACAGTGCGGTGAGCCCAGCCCTGGGGTACCGCGCCATATAAGACAACTAATTATTGTTATTATTATTAGCATGCAGCTGTGCTCTTCTTAACGCAGATTCCATGCAAGACCTTTGTCTCTCACGCGCTGGTCCCCTGCATGGTGATATTGAGCCCCAGGTGGCGTCGGGGGTGGCGTGGCAGCGCTTCTTAATCAACATGCCATAATGGGACGGACATGCCGACTAGAACCCTCCCGAGGGGAGGGGGGCGCTAACACAATGAGCTTCTACGTTGAACTTATTAACACAATGATCTATTATGTGGGCCTCTGGTTTAGTTTAATATACAAATGGAAGTGTTAAAGTTCACATTTGGCAAGGTTGTCTTTGTTTATTGATTTTTATTGTCCACTTAATCAACGTCTTATCTAATATAAACTCTTAGAAGGAACTGAACAAAGTTACTAAAAATTCTCAATAATAGTGCTGATTTTTTTAATAATAGTTATCCGGACTTAGTGACCATATCGCAACACATTGGACCACAAATTCCGAGTCTTCCATTTCTGCAAATAATCCTTAGCTCCAAGTCTCATATCACCGTTTCCACTTACACCAAAATGTAGGGGGCCTAAATATTTATTTTGATATCATTTAAAACCATGGACGGCCAACCTAAACGGCTTAATGGGTCATTTAGATAGTGAGTAAACCCTTCAAAGTGAGTAAACTCTTCGGTGCCCGCATCTCATTCAACTTCTCACATAAAAAGGGCCCAATAATATTATGAAACAAATACTAAACAAGACTTTATTGTTTACATTCATAGTTCGTTTGCATCTACATGTGGGGCCTACGTGTAGCCTACAGTTTCCATAAATTTGATGTGAACATCCAGACAACAGGCTGTTCCGTCATGAGTTTTAATAGTACAGTGGTTCTCAACCTTTCTAAAGTCGGTACCCTTTAATACAGTTGCTCATGTTGTGGCGACCTCCAACTACAAAATTATTTTCGATACTTTATAACTGTAGAATATATGTGTTTTCAGATGATCTTTCAGGTGACACCTGTGAAATGGTCGTGCGACCCCCATCTTACAAATTTAAAAACTTCACTAATTAAAAATTCATCTAAAACATAGTTCACTTTTAAACTATTACATTTATAAATAAATAAAACTGAGACCTTCTGTCAGAATACAGCCATCACAAAAGAAAGGTCCACATCATTGCTAACTTCAGGTTTTGAAATGTAAGATACAAAAATTGTGGAGTCACTTAAGATCTTTACCCCCTCTCCCCGTGTCACTTTCTGAGACCCCCCTTGTTCCTCCAGAGTGTGACGTGCTTTATGGACGGCCCCTTAGCCTACTATTTTATGTTATGAGGTCATGTTGGGCTTTTCCAAAAGATAACCTTTTTTCAATATCCTAATATTTTTATTTACTTAAAGTGAGCCTTCGTTTTTATCTGCAAAATAAAACGAGGGAACCTTGGCCACACTTAATTGTTTATTTTTAAATAGAAAGAATATGTAGGTCATATGATGCTAAATTTAAATAAAGGTTGGATTATCCAAACTGGTATGTCCTGACAAAAGTGCTTCTGCATGGATGCTAACAAGTATTTATTTTAATTTTATTTTACAGTAGCTTTATTGTGGCTGGAACAATAAAAACACATTGAATGGGGATGTAACAGAATCAAGGCTATGCATCAGGTGAACGTGACACAGAATGGTAACACTGAAATACAACAGAATCCAGGAGGCTGAAACAACCCTTCAGAAAACAAACGGTCATTGTTCAATAAACTTGCTGGGTTAGCAATCCCCAATTTTACAACCCATTGATTTGGTCCGGCTAGTCTTAACTCACATTTTAAGCCCATATAAAAATTTAAAAAAAAACAACAAGAAAGCAACAAAGAAATTTTATTTCTAAATACAGCTGCTGAACTATAGCATTATAGCAAAGTTTTTATAAACTATTTCAATTGTGATTTTATTTATTAAGACACTTTGTACTTTTTCCATCATTAATTTTTAAATAATTAAATTGAGTTTCAACATTTGTGACACAAACACACCCACTGTTTCAATGTTGTAAGCAGAATTGTATTCTGGAGTGCCATTGAAGAGTTTTGTGTTCTCCTAATAATAAGTCTTCAGCTATAATTTCAACTGTCGTGTCAGTTTTAATCCATCATGTCTATTTGTTCATAGCCTCCTCTCATTAAGAACAAGAAGTTTGGTTTTTTCCGAAGTGCTGACAACTCCTCTGCTGACAGTAAAGTCTCCAGGTCGGGAAGAAGCTGATCAAGTTCACCTGGATTAGAAAAATATTTTGAGATTTAGAAGTCAACAGACAAAATCAATCAGAACATGGAGTGTTTTGTATGCCTCAATATTTAAACTCAACTGCATTTGGCAAGGACAGTAGTCTGCTTGCTCAAATTGTTTTTGGATGAAATATGTCTAAAAACTAACCAACTAAACACATATTCACCCACAAATTATTTTGTTATAATAAAAATCAATACATCATCTAATAACCTACCATCCATGTACACTAACTCAACAACTTTGAAAAAAATCTTGTCTCTGTTGGAATCCAGTGGATCTGTTTGATCCATCTCATCCCAGCTGGAATGTAGAGCATAAACACATGGATTTTATTGGTGGCTTATCACCGAGAGGATTGCAAGGCGGGGAGCTTAACATAGAAAATATTTACAGAACATAGCACTGTTAAAAAAATATGTAGTACAATTAATACCAACAAATCAACCACAACTATTTCAAATCTACCTGTCCATTAGAATGGCTCGACACCAAATGTGAAGTTTTAATGCCTCAACATCAATGCTGTCCTGGAAATCATACATAATACAAAGAAGAGAAATTATTATTATTTTATTTATTTCAAGGGAGTAGGCCAGTACTTTTCGAACTAATCAGGGTGACGGAGAGGAATCAATTTATCTACATGACAGCAGGACATTTGGCCAATTTATTATCATCTTAAATTTGTTAACCTTTTATGGATTAGCTGTGACAGAGAGCAGACCGGTGCTGGCTAGCTGTGACAGAGAGCAGACCGGTACTGGCTAGCTGTGACAGAGAGCAGACCGGTGCTGGTCACAACTTTAAGAGGCACTATAAATGATGTTATTTATTTCAAGAAAAAATTATGTTGTCTGTGTCACAGCAATGGGGACATTGTATTTATAAATACATTGCTGCATTTTAATAAATGACATTCCCCCCATTTGATTAAACCCCTGCCTACATTTAAATGGGACACCAATTTCAAGGCTTTAAGTTTAATCTACTTATTAATGAAAGGTACAAAAGGGATAGTTGTTTTTAAAGCGAAAACTGCAATTGTATTTTATTGTAATCCTCAATGTTTTAACTAAATATATGTATTGTTTCGCATCCGGAAATTTGATCGAAAGAAATTTTGTTGACTTCAAATTGATCGACGGTAATTTGATAGAACGGAAATTTGGCAGAATCTATCTTTCAGTTTTTACATTAAAATTTTGCTTCAAATTTCTTTTTGAACGCATTATTTTGTTTCACTATATGGTATAGTGTGTTCAAAAAGAAATTTGACGAAAATTTTAACGTGTGAACTCAAAAAAGGATTCGACAAAATTTCCGTCAATCAAATTTACCGTTTACGAAATTTCTTTCGATCAAATTTCCGGTAACCATAGTGTTTGGCTAAAAAAATATTTAATATCAAACATAAACTGTCCACAAATAAATGTTTGATAACTTGTAAATGATTTATAATTAGCTTGAGAAATTCAGTTACCTTGTCTATATAATAGAGAAGATCCAATGCTTTTTTAACATCCAACTCATTGGCTGACCTATTGTGTTCACTGATGTGGAGCTGGTGATAAAATGTCAGCTGTAGTGTAACCGTGCCAGAATCAAAGCAATTTGACAAAAGAAGTCTTACTTTTCAACTTTCAAGTTATTTCTACAAGATGCATTGTTTAGTGCACTGGGTCCTGCCCACGCAGATGGAAAAACCATTGCTGCATTCGTTTGTTAAAACTTTATGAAACACTATTCATTTATGTCAGTTTCATATAAAGACAAATGCTAAGCTGTTATTGTTGATTTTTCAATAGAATCCTTTTGATTAAATTATCTAATCAATTTAAAATGTGCATAAATTATACAATATAAGAACTAAATAATTTTACATCTTTTATTTTTGACTTAAGTTTTTATCAGGTACCTCTATAAGTTCTTCAGGGGACAAAACTCTCATACTTCCTGGATCCATTCCAACATTCTGAAATAAAACGATTTGATTGTGCATTCTTGATATATTTCATCTTACAGTGCAATCTTCATATAATTCATCTTGTGCTAACTTGTAGTGCAATGTTCTTATACTTCATTTTGTAGTGCAATTTTGAAATATTTAGCATTTCAAATTTATACACATCTATTGTTCAGACTAACACTACACATTTTAGAACTGTGAGTATGCCCTCATAATCTCTAACATCATTTGGTTTCATTAAGTATAGATTGCAATTTATTAACAACATTCATAAATAAGTTAAATGATTGTGTTTATGGCAGGTGATCGAGTAATAAGTTAACGTCCATATTATTCTTTGAATTTATATATCATTCAACTTTTTTCATTCTGAAGATTCTATTGTCAGTTGAACAGACTGAAAATTCAAGATCATGAAAATATTGAAAACAATTTTTTAAAATTGTTGACATAAATCCAATCTTTAACTAATAAAACTAACAGTTTCACAGCTTACCTCTAAGTGAAATACAGATTTTAAAAATTAAATACAATTATAAAAAATTTGCAAATATTAACATTAAGTATTATTATTTAGTGGATTGTTTCCCTTGTCCACTTTATAAACTTTTTTGAGCACTTAAAATAACTCCTTAATTCAGTATCATTCCTGCATAAATTGTGTATTATTTTAAATAGAATTAAAGTAAGGATCCAACAGAAGATGAAACAAAAAGGCTTAAAGACTATTGGATAAAAAAAAAACAACATGCTTTCACCACAATGCAAACTTTTGGTTGGTGGCAGGCAGGTGTGAAACAAATGATCCATAATCATAAACAATTAACAAATCCAATGAAGTGCACCCCACACACTGGTTTCAGCTAATATTTTTTTGTATTGAAATTATAATAAATTATAAAAGTAGACGTTATAATAATTTTTAAAATTTTATAGAAAAAGAAGACAATAAATTAATATAATAACAAATAAACTTACATAAAGTGTTTCAGCTGGCAACTGTTCTTGATGAAGCATCAGGTCCAGTTCTTCATTGATAGCTTTAAGAATGGCAGTTCGGGAGAGAGAGAGAGAGAAGGGGGAAAACAAATTTATAATCAAAATATGTGTTACGTAAACATTTATTAACATTATACATTTTTGTATAACAACAAATGTAAGCTGTGGCATTAAATGTAAAATAATTTGTAAAATAGTTTTAATAACAAAATTCTATCACTCTATTATAATATTTTTTGCCAAACCTTCAATATTTTCTTTCCCGTTATCATTAATGTCATCTGATGCCAGAGCTGCAAGTTTGCCTAAACTCAGAAGGGTCTGTACAAAATAAAGGTATTACTGAATTATACACACTTAAGGTGACTAGGACAGAATGTTTCAAAGTAAAAAAAAAAATTAAAAAAAATAATGTTAACATTTAATGACGTCAGGAGGTAAATCCAAGTACACAGTCGGTAACATTTATGCATTTATTCCACTAGGCACGATTATGTACATGAAATGAATTCTATTAATCTTGGGGATAATTTTTTTTTTCTGCACCTAAAGGTCTCAAATAAAAAAAATGTTCAATTTGTCACAAAAATAAATTCCAAAAATAAAGTTCATTTCAATAAATTTGCATATCAGAGAGGGTTCACAAGTTTCCAGGTTTGTCATTGTTTTATATATAGATTTGGATATATATATTGTTTTATCACATTGTTCTTTGCAAACACAAATTTGACCGTGCTAAAACACTTCTGAGAGAGTTGCATTGGCTGCCGGTCCGTGCTCGCATCGAGTACAAAATTGCAACTCTGTGCTACCGCTGCTTGCATGACCTGGCACCGTCCTATCTCAAAGTGCTCATGATAACTTATGCACCCACTAGACAACTCCGCTCATCCAATAGTGGCAAACTGTTGATACCACGTGTTTGCCTTGAGATTTACGGAAGGCGCACTTTCGCATTTGCTGGCCCAACAATTTTGAACACACCTCCTGTCGCTCTCAGAAACAGCCAGACACTGGAGTCTTTCAAAACCTATTTGAAAACATATCTATTTCGCAAACACCTTTTGGGGTAATGTTGTCTACCATCTTTTCCAGCTAGCTATTATCTCCTAGATGTATAGTGTGCTGTGTTGTTTATGATTCCAAGGGACAAAAGACTTAGAATAGGGTATTCTTGTATGTAGTTTTTGTAATGTTGCGTTTTGTATTTCAATGTGGTATAATATAGATTTTTTTTAAAATATGGTTGACTTTTTACAGCGCTTCGAGCCTTTGGGAATGAAGCGTGATTTTAAAATAAACTTTATTTTTATTATTTAAGGTTATTATTTTCTAAAATAAAAAATAACTAGCTTGATAAAAGATTACCTTCTTCTTTGCCAGGAAGTTTTTCTCTGCCTTTCCCAATGTAGATAAAGCCAAGTGAGCCTAAGTTTGAAAAATTACAAACACGAAAATTTTGTTAACTATAAGGGAGCAAAAAGAATCATTATTTTTTAAAATAAAAATATGAATACAAAAATAAAATAAGAGTCAGTCCATTATACTCACATCTAGAAAATTGCCCCTTTTAATTTCATGAAGCCAGCTAAGATACTGCACATTCCCTGAAGCCAAGAATTTGCTAAGTTCATCCCCCTGTGCCGCATGCTGTGACAACAAATGGCTGCGTTTTCCTGTTTCAAAAATGAATTTAAAAATGTAAAATGTCATAGCGTCCTGAGACAGATAAGAAAAATTAAGATGGTAAAAATTATATTTTTTCCAAGTGTGATAGCTAAACTACATAGTAAGAATTGTTTCTTAGTAATTGTTTTTGTACATCATAAATGAAGATTGATAATTGTTCAAAATCTAAGAAGCCTATCAAATTAGCATAAACAAAAAGACACATTATAAGTATTTCCATATTTCTAAAAATGCATGCTTACCTTCTTTCATGTACCAATTAAATAAAAACTGGGCAAATCCCTGTAGAGATAAAAAAAAAAACACAGTTGATATCCAAATATATTGACTCAATTTAAACTGAAACCCCTCAAGCTTTATATAATGATGTGTGTTATGAAAAGTAACAAGTATTACATTGTTTTAGTGTATTGCAGCCATCCATCAAAATGGGTATTTTTGTTCTAAATTTAGACCCCTTGGATTTACTTAGCATAAGAAATTACCTTGTCAGCAAACTGTGTGCGATATTTCTGCAACCTGTCTTGATTATTCGTTTCATCACATATTCTCATTAACATCTCAAAATCCTCAAACTTCTCAGCTAGAGATGCAGCTCTGTCAAACTGTTTGTGCTCCACTGAAAAGACAATCAGGGGGAGGGGGGGGGGTCCACATAGTTTTGTAACTAAAGCATATAAATCATTTTTCTGTGCAAGAAACCACTGACTTTCCCATTTGATACAAGCTAGCAGTATTTAAATTAGCTGATAATGAAAATTTTGGGAGAAAAAATATTTAATGAATAATTTTATAAAATATAATTTGATAAACTTAATTAGCACTAAGTACAATAAAATTTAAATCATATAACTTGCAAAAAATAGTTTTACAATTTATCATTAATAATTACCCCCCAAAAAACAACCCCAAAACTATTTGGGCAGAATCATTTTTGTAAAGATAAATTATGGGGAAAATTTTAAAAATTTTTCCAGTTCTTAAAAAACTTTGCTTTCCTAATGTGCAATAGAATTTACTTCACTGTGTATACATTTTTATAAGAAAGATAACTAAATATAATATATGATATGTGCACGCCATTCATAATTATAAATGTCATTTTAAAAAAAATTATAAAGCTTTAAAGAATGACAAGATCAGCATAAATTTGAACTAGGAGATCAGTGGGACTAGAATGATGGCAATAATTATTATTTAGTTTTGTAATTTTCTTTTTTTAATAACATCAATACATCACATGCTTTTTACTACCAATATACAAACTTACATAAAGGTATGATAAGCTTATGTCTCTCCCTTTCAAATTCCCTCTCCAGCTTATTATAGTCATCAGATCTGTCAGGGTGGTATTGTAAAGATCTCAGTTGGCTGGCATATCCATCCATGACAATGTCTGCAAGTCCAAGAATGTTCTGGAACAGTGCACCTTGAATATCCAATTCACGAGCTTCCTGAATTCCTTTATCTAGTGTGATGAAAATCTGTTGAACACAAGGAAAAAAAATCTAATCTATAAGAATAAGGCTATTTAAAGTTACATTTTCAATAATGTTACATATGCCTAAATGAACCAAGCTTTTCCTATTGCATTCCTCATGTGATTTTGATTACAGTAGTATAGATAAAACTAATGATTGTTAACAAAACTAAATTGTTAATAAACAAAAAAAAGTGAAAAGAGTATGGGTATAATGAGTTTTTATTGACCTGCTCAGTTATTAACTTTCTCATAATGCTTGTAGCTGTCCATGGAATATATTCTGGTATCACCTCATTGTCTGCTGCATACATCTCTACAGTTTGCTGTCTGTATCTCAGGGCACAAAAAAGAATGGTCTGTTGTGGTGGGAACAATAAAAAAATAGTTTTTTTAAAATGAAAACCTTATTTATTACCATTGATATTTTAATCCAAGTAACCACAAATGGTAATTATTTATTTAATTTTGATGGAAGCTTTAAAGTACCTCGAGTATGGCGTTGACTGACTTAATCGCTGTGACGATGTTACGGCTGCTTTGTTCTGATGACATTATCTCCTTTTCATAGATGAGCAGCACCGGGGCGATTTCATGAATTTTTGAGATCTGTGGGGAAAACGGACTCAACATGAGGCTATTTTAAGTAAATTTTTGTTGTATGCTACAGCTGTTAGTAAGATTGGGCATCACTTGAGTTGCTTTAGTAAATGGTGATAATAGTAACTCAAAATATAACTATGTGTTACTGCTTGAGTGGTTACCCATTATTAAATGTAAAATATGATCTCTACACAAAGGTATTTTATAATTTGTAATAAACTCATTCATACATATTCATATTATTCAATGTGGGTCTGCATTCATTGCTAACATCCTGTAGATGATTCAATGTGGGTTCACATTCATAGCTGAGAGCCTAAGTAGACATGATATTTTAAAATCCTTCAGCCAATTAACACATTGAAACAGTATGTTTCAAAGTTAATTGGCATGCATCAGCACTGTATCAAAAGCGATTTACTCATTCTTCAATATGTTTACCTGCCAATGCCGAAACAGAATTTAACAAATCTAGCGATTGGTATAAAAAAAAAATTAAAACACTGCAATTTAAATTTTTTTTTTTCCACCTTAAGGACAGCATTACATCAAGTGAAGTGTTTTGAATTTGACTGACAAATGATTACATTCATTAAAACTACGGCAGGACAAAATTGAAACGTTAATCAGGAGTGTCTTGTTTACATATTTTTAAAGTTGTTTTTATATGTAATTATTCCCTTTCCTAAGGAAAGACAATTAATTTGATAGGCTAGTGGGGTTTTAATTGAGTACAATTAAAACAATTATTCCTACCTCTCTGTAAAACATATCCTGTGCAGCCAAGGTTTGAGGAACATTCACTTGCCTCTGTCTGAGAACTTTATTAATGCAAAAATCAACCATTTTGTGATGCCTATGGGAAAGATAAAAAAATTTGCACAAGATTTTAATTTTTTTTGAGAGGCCACGAAAAAAATTAAACGACAGCAAATTTTTATATATTATTTTGGAAAATCCAAGAAATTTTTATTTCAATAAAACTCGATATGAGCTAAATTATGGACAATATTATTTTATAAGACATAGCGGGCTATTCAAGATGAGTATGTTTCTATTAAGTAATATGCAATTTAAAGACTTTGCGCCAAACAATTCTACATCATCTTACTCAGCATGAAGTTCTCTTAGAGCTTTGGCAGCTTCGATTTTCTCCACATGTTCACAAAGTAACAGCCGTGTTGGCATAACTGAGCCTCGAACCCCAACAACACCAAGCTGAAATATTCAAAACTCATTAAATCTGCAATAATTAAAAACAATAGACATTTCAACATTTTTTTTTTACAGCTAAGCTTTCACAATATTATTCTTAAAAAATGTAAAATACTTTTTAGCCATTACAGATATTTAAAAAATGTTTAGCTATGTAGCACAACACTTTTTATAAAGTTATGTTTTAAAATTATTATATATATAGACTGGTTTAAATCTTTATTTTACAAGGAATATTTAAATAACAAACACTAACTTATTTTTTGTTATTAAGTTTCTCAAACTACTTATAAATTTTGAAAAAAAAAACATGGTCTTTAATTGGTTACAACTGGAGGAATATTTTTAAAAAAATGTAATCCAATTTTTTTTTTAAATATATGGTTCAAATTTTTTAGCATTAGATAACCAAAAAATTTAAATTTTATTCCATGTGTTTCAAAAACAAAGAGTTTGGAAATGTGAATGATGACAGAAAAACAATTCTGGGGCACAAATATCTAATTAGTGATCACTATCAATACCAACTCAGGCAATGATTTGAGTGGATCATGGGACAGCAACAATTCTTTTAAAAAGTGAGCAATTTGATGAAATGCTTATATAAAAGTGAAGTGTTTTTTAGGAGTGAAAAAAAAAAACCTCTTAGAATTTTAACTCTCCAAACCTTATTCCACAAGTTATACTTTTTCAGGAAGTTAATAAACAAATCATGGGCCTTCTGTTTGTCATTCAACTGCTGAATAATGATGACAGATGTGCTGTGGTTTGTAGAATCTGGGTAAAGAAAACATATTGTAGAGGGTAAATGTTCTACGTTCTAAATCATTATCCACACAATTTAAGCCTTTTAAGTTTTATACACCTTTTTAGTGCACAAATAAAATTAAATTTGTATAACACGTGACAAATCTAAATCCTAGTTTTAAGGGCATGTAGATATATTTCTTTCACCTAGTCATCAAAATGGACTGTTAAAAATCATCAAGTTATATTTAATATGGTGAGGTCAAGACTGCCTTAATGGCAGAGAACACAAAGAAATTTAAAAAGATCATTACTGACCTTTTTTTGCTGACTCTGCCCACCGAGGGTCCGAATTAGGGTAATCGTCAATGAGGTCACTGCTAACACTTGTAACAATGGTATCTATGTCAGGGATCTTTCCAGTGTCTGTGCACATGGACTGAAGGACATCCTCAATAGAGTTCTCCTAAAATTATTCAGTTAGTTATCAAAGTCTTATAAAAATGTTTAGCAACTTCACTCAAATCTGCTGCTACATTTAAACAGGAGAAAATTTTTTTTAGAAAGGGGGTGGGAGAGAGAGAGATTACTTGGGTGAATAGAAGATAATATTTTTAGATGTATTACATCTGAAAATAAATCAAAACAATTGTTTTTTAAGTATATTTGTGGATAAAATAAGCAAGTTAATAGATGGCAATGTAAGGCAGGTCTACAGAGGTCAAAGGCCTAGCAAATAAAACAAAACAACAGCTTCTGTTCTTCTGGTATTTACCTGATCAGCAAGAATGGATGAAATAAAAGCTCCCTTGAGTTTGGTCTTGTTATCACTACTTTCAATCATCTCTGTCACATTGGTCCTATTCATCGCCAGACCAGACTGAATTTAACCAAAATGAAATAATGCAGCATCATTCACATACAGCTTAGGTCAGGTCTTGAAATTAAATACACTGGTATTAAAGTACTAATTCTGATTGCTCTAGTTTAAAGTATCTCTTATGAATACTACATTTTTTAGGCCAGCCAAATATCAGTTAGTATTCACAAATGGGCTTAAAATATGACTTTCAATGTCGCACTATTGTTTTTCCTCATGCATTAATGGATGCTGTAATCAAGCCAAAAAGGGAAAGTGATACCTCTATAGTCAGATGTTAATGGCTATCTTACTTTAAAAACAAATGATGGAATCTTAAGGCTAATTACTCACCAGGTCTGCTCTAGCTATGCTCTGATTGTTTGATTCATCTAAAACACTGGGGGGAAAAATATTCATTATTAGTTATTTCATTCAATGGTTAATCCACTTATAAAAATGCATTAATAAGTACAAGCTTAACAGATATTTTACAGATTTATTAATGCTTCCTGCGGGTGAAACAGGTTTGTGACAATAGAGACACTGAGTTTCCATAAGTGCTCCATGATATCACATTTATATAACTTCCTATTAATTATTAAGTGTAACACAATTTTCTTTTAACTAGTCACATTATTAGTCACATGGCACAATTTTAGTATATAATGGTAGATGAAACAGACTGTCCACTACCTTTGCTCAGATCTGGGAGTAGATATGCTGAAGATGCCATGAGTGTTTGAAAAGAACACAGCAATACCATTGTAGCAACCTGATGATGAAAGGAGACGCTCAGAAACATGTACAAATTTTTAAAAAATTTAAATATGAACATTATCTGAGAATTACATTTTAAAGTGTATAGCTCTGGATAAAGTTTACGCGAAACAAGTTGAACATTTAAGCATGTGTTAATAATTGTATAAGCATGTTGCTGTGATATCCTTGTGTTGTATTGTTAAAGTTGCTTCCCTTTGTTGTCAATGTGTGAGGCCTGCTGTTTCTCAAATTGTGATGCATGTTGTTTTGCTTGTAGCTAGTCATTCAAAATTGTAGATACGAAGCTGAACAGACATGTTAGTTTTCCTTGGGAACTGCGTTATTAAGACCACTAATAATAATATATCTGTGCTGAATATAACACATGTATCTTGAGAGCATTATAGTATCAGAAGGGAGAATGTGAAGGGTTAACTGAAAGGTTAATACTAACACTCCTAATAGATCTGTTTAAGGCTAAAAACAAAGCTAGCACTGAGGTAACAGTTTTATCAGAACTTGATAGATCCTATTACAGAATGTGACCTGAAGTAAACTGATGATTGATAGGCCGCTACTTAAAAACAAAAAATAATCGCACCAGCTCCGAGCAGCAAATCTCCTGAAGTCTTCAGATCCATTTTGTCCATTGATATGTTATCTGGAAGAGATAGAAATGATATTTCACATTTTGTAGCTCTCATTGTTGTCTCATCATTCATGTTTAACTAGTAACTCTAAAAAGTTTACCCTTTTGTGGTGACACAAAAAAAAGTATGTCTGTATTACGAGAATTTACCATTGCTTGCAAAATAAATTATAAGGAAAGTATACTTTTGAGGATATAGTATATTTTTAAATATAAAAGTAAATATCTTGGATTAGTGTACATTAGATTTATATTAGATATAAATGAACTTGTACAAAATTTATTTTGAGGGTCAAAACTTTTAATACCATTTTTGACGGCAACGGTTTCTTAAAAAATATTTTGATAATTATCAGTCAAGTAACAAATTATCTTTAAAAAGAAAAACTAATTGGTTACAAAGAGGATAAAACTTCACATAATCTCCATGATAACCAAACTTTACCTACCAACAAAAAATTTCTTATTTTTTAAAACTATACACATATTTAAATCTGAGGAAATTTTTTGTTTGCAATATGTTACCAGCCATGTTTACCTGTACTTCATTTTGAAGATCCCCCCAAAATTAAAAGACTAAAATGTAATACAAGGCTAAGCTGTGTACCACATTTCAGCTCTTAAGGATAAGTGGAACAGAGAGAAGTTCTGGCACCAAAAGATCAAGGAAAACACAGATTTTGAAACCAACAAGCAAAGATCAATAGATAAAAGGTCTTGAAAATGAAATCAGAATTCAAAGTATAGCAAAATTTAACCCGTGTTCACTGGTCAAGAAGGTATTATAATATTCACAAGTCTATTTCTATTATGTACTTTTTGTGTAGGAGAATTCACAAAGGCATCCGTACCTAATTTTTCGTGTGACATAGTTGTTAAAGTGATTGATGGCTGTTTGACAAAACAGGTCATTTCCTGACTAAAACATAACCTGGAGCTTAGACTCCTGTCACTTACCTTGCAGCATGAGAATGGAGGAGTTGTTGTAGATAAATGCTGTGTTTGACTTGTCAGATGATAGGTAAAGAAGCTTGAATGATGTGATTTGATCTTCCAGTTCTTCCTGTAAGCATAGTAATATTTTAGGGAGGAAAAAGGTTTTGGGGGAGAAGGGCGGGTGTTGTATATGAAAATTCTATTGCAAATAGTTAAGAGGATGAAGACGTTCCCATCAGTAGAAAGGATGCTGCAGGCTACATATCATTCACCTACAACCATTAAAAATAAAGTGTAAATCATAAACAGTGCACAACACTGCTGTGCACCATTAACATAGTAAACTCACATTGTATCTCGGTGTGTATTCCAGCAGGATCAGATCGCTAGCATTAGTCGGTTGTGCATCTTCGTAGGTCTCAAAGAAGGCTAAAAAAAAAAAAACAATGGCAAAAAAATATAAGTAAAATCAAAACAATGATAAATGATTAATTTTCTTACTGAAGGACTGAGAAGTTTGGCACACGTATGATGGTGTTCATTTTTGTAAGCTACTCCAAATGTCTATAGCTCATACCAATATGCTTAAAGCTCATGCTTAATGCTTTAACCTCACACCTAATACTTCTAGCCCAGACCTCCACAACAGGTGTGGCGGTGCACACTAAACGAAGCCAAGTGTGGCGCCACACACTAAATGAAGCTGTGTGCTGTGCAAACTGCCCACAAGAGAAGGAAAGGCTCAGAGTAAATGAAGGCACATAAATATGATAAAAACCTGTTGCTACAAAAGGGACATTGGTTAGTCTATTACCAAGCTGTTAAAAATATCCTTAAATGAAATGTGTCTGAAATAGAGCAATACAGTGCAATGGGATACCTTTTAGCATTAAAATTTACACGCCACGATAAATAACTTTATCCTGTTATTTAATTTTTTTAAAACATATGATGTTCAGCAAATTTTTTTTGAAAAGAATGGTGCATGCCTCGGTTAAAAAAAAGGTTGCCAAGCTCTGCTCTAGGTAATTCTAAAGCTCCTACCTAAGGCATAATGCAATGTGTGTGGGGCTGTATCCAGGTTCACCCCTGCACCAAGCAACACGATACCTTCTCTGTGAAAAGTTTAAAAGATTTTTTAATTAAAAATTAACATTAAAGGTATAAATACTTTAAATTATAATAAAGGAATTAACAACTTTCTACAAATGTGTTTCACTTCATTTTTAAAATTAAATAATAGCTTTAAATTACGGAAAAAATTTTTTTCATAATTCTATCACAGGATAACATGGAAAGTGAAAACATAAATCTGTTTTAAGTATTAAACTGTAACCAGTTTGTTTTCTCTTTTAGTTTTTTTGCATATGCATTTTTAAAAATATCTTCAAGCTGCATTCCACACTAAGGTGGTATAGAGGTTACTCAATACCTACCTGGTTAGTTGCAGATCTATTAGCCATGTCTTCAGCTGTGGCATCTGAATAGAATCTTGCTCCTGAGAGTAGAGAGTTGCTTTTTTTCAAAAATAAGTTCATATAACACAAACACACAAGGAACATGGACAAAAATGATAGTGTTTCAAAAGACTAACTTGAATGTTTAATGTAAACAACAAAGAACATATTTCAATGACTCACCCAAACCTTTCTGGCTATGGCATCTCTGAACATACGGTCAGCATCTATTTGATACAGCAACTGAAAAAAACATTAATTTGTCTGGCTTATTGCTGATGAGTACTAAATCTAAAAATAAACACATTATGAATATTATGTTACTTTAAAACCCTTTTTCAAAAAAGTATCCTGTGCCAAATGACCCCATTTAGAACTTTAAATTTAAATGTTACACACATTTGTCCCCAAATATTTACACTAAAAAATCGTAAATACAGCCCCTAATCTGTAGTATTATTTTAAAAATAATTTTATTGCATAATCTGTACCTTTTCGGGACCAATGCTAGGAACCTGCCATTTGCAGATGTTACTTCCTGAAAGTACGTAGAAGGACCTTCGATCTTCATCATCATCATCTTCATCATCATATTCATTATAGGGAGCTGCAAGTATTGTCTGCAGAGGCTGAAATAGATTTTAATACGCTTTCTTAAACAAAAATAAAAAGCGAAGGGGATCCTCATGCCACATAAGTAATCTAAATGCCCAATTTAATCTACAGAATCTTAAATAATGTCCAAATTAATAGTCACAATAAAGAATTTTTTTTTTTTAATTTTATTGACTCACATTTCCATTTGTTTGAATCTGTGATGCCCCAAAGATGAAAGATGACATCCTTCGACTGATGCCTGAAAACAAACCTTGGGAGGCTTTGAGTGGTTTGCACTGTATACTGGCCTGAAGGCAGAACAAAATCACTTATTTTTTTATTATTGCATTTAAAAGTAAATATTATTCAGACTCTCAGAAATGCACTCTGTCAACAGCTCTGGTTTAACCTTATTATGTTTTTATAAGGATGACAAAGCACCACAGATCGTTTCCACTGTTGCTGATGAATGATGTTGCTGATAAATGAGATGTAAAAAATTGTAATTGTATAAGTGAAGATGGGGTGGTCCGCGGGTGAAAATATCGATACGTTTGTCAATTTTATCTAAAATGAGATTACGGAACTTTGTACTGGATTAACTTCTAATAAATACCTTTCTCTTAATGGTTTTATTTAAAATATATTCTTAAGTTGCTAAATTAATATTTAATAATTGAAGAACTGCATCCTTCTTCCGACCACAACAAAGGAGATCTCTAAAGTTTTTTTTTACTGTGTTCTGTTCTTGTCGTACTTCTATTTGTCCTGTTCCCTGAAGGAGGCTCTAAGCCGAAATGTTCCCATCTTATTGTCCTGTCTTTTGATTCAAGCTTCAACATACCTTCTTTTAATATTTCATAAATAAATATTTAAGGATACATTTTCAGGAAAATAAAACTGGCAAAGTTAAAATGCGTCCCATTAGTCCTGATATATGTTTTGTTCTTACGACACCCACACATATTTGGTATCGATCAAAAGAGTAACCTAGCCAAAAGGCTATGGTGCCGCCATAAAAAATGACTAAAAATAAGAGGCCAGGGTATTACGCAGTTTCTAAACGGATTTTAAACTTTCAATATTTAATTTATGTTAAGGAAGTGATATGAAAAAACTGCTGAATACGATATTATTACCTGTCCAGCAACAGGATCAAGTAATAATAGAGAGCTTGTAGTTGTAGCCAGAAGACATCCGTGAGGCTAAAGAAGAAAGGCATGTCTTAACATTGTCTTATCACTAGTGGCACATATTATTATTATTATTTTACTAAAATATTCTTACTACTGATAAAGATGATATTTCACTAAATCAAAAGCAGGTTATAAAAATAAATGTACTTTCTGGTTTGTCAGTCATCTGTTAACAATTAGTAGTAAATATTTAACATACATTTGTATTGTTTACAACCTTACAAAATTTATCCATATTTTTAGAAGTATTAAACATTTTTAAAAACATCATAGACATATCTTCTAACATAAAAAAAGAAGTGGATAAAATATAAAATAATCTATAAAGATTAGTGTGAGATCAAAGAACTTGATGGGTCAGATGGATGGCAGTAATGACCTGGAAGTTGATGACTTTGGCACATTCTTCCCCTCTCAACTCAGCACTGATCTCTGCTGTTGAGGACTCAAAAGCTATGTTGGGCCAGTATCTGACCACACCTTCTGGGGACACAGCTACACAGGCTGCTGGCTGGCTGTCATTCTCACTTGGAATCACACACACTCTCTCTGCACTGTGGGCCAAGTCACTTGGAGGCAATGTCAGCTCCTTACATTGCACATTCTAGGAGAAATACTTGGAGTTTTAAAGAAAAATCCCTTCTTTTATTCAAAAAGTCATAAATAATTAAATTTTTAGGGAAAAAAAGTTATAGTGCTTAACCACACTGCTTCTATTTTTTTATTGAAGTTGAGAGGCACGTTGAAACTTATAATTCTATTCATTTTATAAGGTATCATACACAAAATTAACAACAATATTAGAGTTACAAATATTAGATAAATTGAATATCCTATCATTACATATCTACCCTTGTATTGGCAGCAGACTTGTATCGCCAGACAAATAACTTGCGCCCCCCTACAAGCCATGCCCATCCAGAAGGATCTATACATGCTGTTATTTCTGTTGTACTTCCTACAAATAAGAAATGTATCATTAAATAAAAGTTTGAATAGGTTTTTTACTTTGAATGTAATGTTTACCTCTTTTTTTTTTTACAATGACATAGTGTGACCAAAAAATGTTTAATATAAAATATTGGTATTTTTTAAAAGAAAGATGATTATTAATTTCATTAAATTATTATCCTTAAAGCCAAAAATTGTAAGTGAATTTGATAAAAATTATTTTCAGAAAAAAAAAATGCATAAAGGTTCTTACTATCTGATAAAGTTAAAGCTTCTGTAATTAAAACAGGAAGAGCAGTTCCAAAGGGTTCGATGCGATGCGAAGATGTTTCTTCCAATATCTGAGATCCTTGAAATGACTGACTTGTCAAAGCAGATTGATTCCTGTGATGTGCAAATAAACAGAAAGCAAATAGTGGATAATTTTATTTAATAAAGCAGACTTTTATTTAGTCAACTAAACGAGTTCACTGAATAATACTGTTGAGGCATTTCACTTTGAAAATACAGCAGATAAATTATTTAATTTTATGCTTAACTTAACTTAAGGCCTTACTTAACTGTAACTCAATTTTTTTACTTATTAGCCTAACCCAGTGTTCAGCAGCCTGCCGCTCTTTTGAATGAATAAATGCTCTTCTCATCATAAAGGGGGCGTCCATAAATTATGTCAACAAAATAAGGGGGGGGGGGGGGGGAAAAGGTTTGACAGGGGGGGGGTTTGGATTGGTTGAAGTCAAAAATCATGTTTTTTCCATTAAAATTTCACTCTTAAAAATTGACTGGTTCTTACATTATTTTTAACAATTTAATGAGTGTAAATAGTCATATAAGTTTAGGTTTTTAACAATATAAGAGTTATTTAATGTGTTCTGTCTGTGTGCACTACAGATGGCTGTTCAGAATGTTAGCACACTTTGTTAGTACAAGAGAAGTAAAAAATTGGCATCTATTCGCCAGTCATTTTTATCTAAATCCGGTCCCTAGAATGATTAACACATCAATGTACACGGTGTTCAATAACAACTATACCAACTCAAAGACAGAGAGAGCTTATGGCAACTATTGCTCTCACAGACAATGCTTCCATTTTAAGTGCTGAGTAGTTAGATAAGGATGATGTTGACTTGTATATCAGTTCACCAAGACGAAAATGATAAATCATATTATACTATAGCCAATCAGGGGCGTCATTTCAGGGTTTTTTTCAAGGGAAGGGAGGGGGGGAACAAAACCAAAACTTGTTTGGCTTGTTAAGTTGTTTATTACTGGAGGCCTTTAAGCCCTTGTCTAAGAGTATTTTAAACCGATAAAAAAAGGAACCACATCTTCATATACTTTTTTAATTCATAGCTAAAAACTACTAAAGCTAGTTATGTTTGATTAATTTTATTTTATAAAACTGTACCGGTATAGTTTAATATTTTTTTTTTTTTAGCAGAAACTGCCAAAGCTTCATTACATTCAATTATTCATCCCAAATATCTGTGGAAGAAAACATAGGGCTCTACTCATGCCCAATGCCCATAGGTGTACAGAGTGCCACAGAAGGTCTGCTTTGGGTCCTGTCCTATTCACAATGAGTACCAGGCTACTTCTCCTCCTGCTCAGAAGGCCTGCTGTTGAGAGCCAGTCATTCGCAGATGACGTGCAGCTTTAAAAGCATACCCATCCCTCTCTTCAGCAGGAGTGTATTGGTGATGTCAAGTCATGGATGACTCGCAGCAAGTTGAAGCTGAACGCTGACAAAACAAAAGTACTCCCCATTCACAATCATGAATCATCCTCTAACTCAGCTCTCCCCATCTTATTTTAAGTAGGTAGCACAGATATAGAGTTCACATCCTCTGCTAGGAATCTTGGTTACATTCTTTCTGACAACATGTCTCTCAATAATCATATTTCTCACATCTGTCGCTCTGAGTACACTGCTAATCATCAGATCTGATACATCCGCCACTACCTCGCAATTTACACAACAAAAACACTAGTCTATGCTCCTGTTCTCACTCATCTTAACTATTGTAACTCTCTTCTGTCAGGTTCACCAAAACATTTCCTGTCATAGAAAAACTGCAGAAAGTTCAAAACTGAGGTGCTAGGTTAGTTTTAAAGACAAAGAAACATGCTCACTACTTCACTTACTTCATTGACTTCAGGCACACATTTATCATAAGCTGCTTTCTGTCACAATTTTTTCTCTGGTTATGCCCTTCCTATCTTACTGAACTTCTTACTGTCTATTCACCCTTTTGAAAGCTTTGTTTCTTCGCAGACACGCATATTCTTTCTGTTCCCAGAACATGAACTAAAACATATGGTGAACGATCTTTCTCTTTCTGTGCCCCCAAACAATGGAATTCTCTCCCATTACACATCCGCTTTATAGCGACCATCACAGACTTCAAAACTGCCCCATCTCTTTAAACTGTACTTTACCAACTCATTCTCACCCCTCTCTGACTGATAAACAACGCTCAAATCAGCGGGGTGCTGTCCATGGCTGGACACCGGTTGATAGTACTTAGGTGATGAGGACAAGCTTTTCACCAATTGTAAGGCAAGGTATCCCCGCCCCAACCCTACTTGGTTGTGTCCCATTTTGTCCAGTTCATGATTTGGTTACCCTAACTTTGGCCACTTTAGGGTGCTTCTCGCCATGCCCATCACAATCACTGGCTAAAACTTTTACTTTACAAATATGTCAAATTCTTTTTAAGTCTAAGTTTTTACTAAGTAGTAAGTTAGAGTTCAGTTAGTCAACTTTAGCTTACATTATCATTATTAATTTTAATAATTTGTTTGAAACTTGAAGAACCCACCTTCGACTTCTTCTTGGAGTCGTAGTGGATATTCTGGGATTTCGTGTTTGATTAAATGGTGACGCTCTAGAAGAAGTATTTGGTGTTCTGGGAGAAAACATTATCGCTCTTCCTTTACAGCTTAGTCCACACAAACTTGGAAAACACAATTTCAAACTAAGTAGGTGTAGTCTAACTAACTCATACTAAAAAAAAAAAACACATTCGGTACTCGAAAACGCCGGGATTTTTATTTAACTTCAAGTTTTTAAATATTCAGTCTAAGTACCGACATATGAAAAACTTCGACTCGGCGAAGTCGTAACATCTCAAATGCCAACTACAAATAAAATATATTAATTTTACATTGTAAAAAGAAAGTTTATTACGCGGTTTAATTTTAAATTAACTGTTTTTATTTATTTTTTAAATGAGCTACACTTAGTTTATATGTGACAATAATAAAATTATGAGGTAGCTGGATAATTAACAGGAGACTTAATGAATGTCCAAATTATAACAATCCATGTTCATTCCATATTTATAAATAATTATAATGTCTTTATAGGATAAGGTAACCAAATCATGAACTGGAAAAACGGGACACACCCAAGTATGGTTTGGGGGATACCGTCCAGTAAAGAGGGGTCCGGGGGCCTACGCCGGAAACTGTTATTAAAATATGCTCATTTTAACTATTTTGAGACCTAGAAATCTTTTAAAAATGACTTTCACTTTTGTAATTTAATTTAAACTCTGAGGCATATCATCAACGAATAAAATAAATTTGCAGTGAATACTAATCTATTTATACATAGTTTGCAACATAATAGAACACACCAAATAACATTTCTCTAGTTTAGGATTTATATTGAGGATATTTGGCTGTTGTCCCAGCCATTGTTAAAACCTCCTTACCTAATAGGCCTATAAAGTTGTCAAAACTAGAACAGTCCATTTCGAAATTGTAGAGAGCCTGCAGGATTGCAAAAAAAAGGGTCACCACTCTCATCTTGTTTCTCTCGTCCGTCCATTGAATGTTCATTGTCAAAAAGATTCTTTCAGTATTACCAGTGCACCCATCACGCGAGCCCACGTCACTACTGGCACTGGCTACACAGCTAGCGAAAATATTACTTGAAGTTATATTATAAATTAGGAAGTTTTAGTGATTTGAAAACGTGTTTTGTTTTAGAAACGAGATATTTAGGCGTCCCGAGAGACTTTTTCGGGACACCGGGTACGATCGTAAAAAATCAGGACAATCCTGCTTGTACTGGACGTTTGGTCACCCTATTAAAGGGGCCTCTCCCGTTTTTACTTTCAGGTCTATGAATATTCCTCTCCTCTTAAAATGTACCTTCCTAGAACAGAACAAGACTCTCAAGTAACTTTTTTTCCTTCGTCTCCAACTCCAAGAGAAAATGCCACTTCTAGCTTACTTCTAAGTGATGTAACTGAGTAACATTAGAATATAAGGCAACTAATGGGGCTCACAGGTTACACATTTCAAGTTTCTTATCTTCATTTAATTTTTTTTTTTTAATGAGTAAATCACATTTTTTTTTTATAAAGAGCTCACAATTTTTATTTTTAAAAAATCTACCATTGTTTACAAATCTCACAGTGTAGTCACAGGATCATGTTCAATGGAATAAGCAGCCCGCCACCCCCTCGTGCAAAAGAAAAAAACAACAACACTGTACTTGTTCATTGTACTAAAACCAGGGCCGTCATTTCAGTTTTTTTCGGGGGGGGGGGGGGGGGGGGCAAGACTTGGCAGGCTTGTTGTTTATAACTGGAGGCGCCACAGTACATAGCAATTGAAATAAAACCTGAAAATTCAGGGGTAGGGGCTGCTCCCTGCCCTACCCAAATGACGTCTCTGAATAAAAAAAAAAACTCCATTAGCTTTCATTATCCTCACGACTCTCAGCGTTACATAAGTTATAAGAATTCAGATGAAATGTTGTTTATGTTTTTCCCAGGAACAGTTTTCCCACAATGCAACATTTTATTTTTAAATGAAACGGCACATTTAAGTGCTTATGCTGAAGGCGTGATTTCCAAATGTATTTCTTTAGAAACTTTAGTCATCTTATTGTAAGAGATGATGCCTTTACATAAGCACTTTTTGTTTTAAGAGAGGATGACTTACTGTAAGTCAGGGGTCTCAAAATCGCGGCCCGCGGGCCATTTGTGGCCCGCAAGACGATATTTTGCGGGCCGCTGCATGACAGCAAAGTGTAGTGTATAATGCGGCCCGCGAGTTTTCCCCATTTTCATATCTATAATGTGACCCTCCGCGACAGTTTCGGTCGAATCTCACCGACTATTACAATGCTGATTTTAATATTTTTTTATAGATTTGGACGTTGATTATAATGGTAACAACCGTTTTAAAACCGGACAAATTTTTTTTATTGCATAACATTTTATGAGACAAATGTGGCCAAAGTGGGGTTTTTAGAAAAAAAATGTTAAAGTCAGTTAGTGGGTAATGCATAACCACAATTGTGTAAATATTGCAATCTGACACAGTATCAAAGAATCCCTATTAAAATTGCCGATACTGTCAACGAGTGAGGGAAATTTCGAGCATGTCAGCTTGGTTCCATTTTAAAATAAGGATTAGTCAAAAAGGCCTTTTCTGCGATAAAAAAATCAAAATTCATTCTACCTACAATAGCATCTTCATTCGTATCAACAATTTATAAATATTGCCTGCTCCTGGCCACTGTTTGAACACATTTTAGCCTTCAAAGCCTTCATGGAAAAGGATGTGGTGGTTGTTCTTGTACTACGTGATACCAAATGGCGTATGGACTTGGCTTTTCTTGTTGACATTAAACAGGAGCTGTATGTAATTAACAAGAAGTTACAAGACCAGGGGTAGCTTGTCAGTGTTGCCTATGACAATGTCGCGGCAATCTGCACAAACTTGTGTTATGGTTCTTTGAGAAACCTCTGCCATTTCCTAAAATGAAAAATACTCATGAATGTAGGAACACCATTCAGTAGTGAGAGTACTGATGCCATTGCAAAGCTGGAAGAATCTGATCACATGTTCTCAGACTTCAAAACACACAGAGCCACTTTTCAAATTTTTGCTAACCCTTTCTTCTTTAATACCCCCCCCCCACACACCCCACTTGCGCTTCAAATGGAGCTGATTGAACGTCAGTGCAATTCTCAGTTCAGGGAGTAAATGGAGAAACAGACAAGCAAGTACAATTTATGAGAGCATTGCCCTCCACCTTCACTGAGATTTCCAGGTTGCTCAAGCGGGATCATGTGCTTTTTTGGGAGTACCTATCTGTGTGAAAAGCTCTTTTCCAAATATGAAATTCAACAAGTCAAAGTTCAGGGCGAAACTCACTGATGAGCATCTTCAAGCTCTACTGAGGGTCTCAGTTGCTTCCTCACTCAAGCCATATGGTGCTACACTTTGTAAGATGAAGCGCTGCCAGGTCTCTGGCAACAAGGAGTAGAGGGAAGAAAGTGAAGCCTAGCTCTTGAGAACCCTTAATGTTGTATTTTGTTATTAATAAAGGTTGAGCAGATTGTACCAGTTGTACTTTATTGAATTTGTAATCGCCTTTTTTTTTTTTTTAAACTTGATGCGGCCTTTTCGTCCCTCCTTCGCACGACCCTGAGAGGAATATGGGGCATCAGTCCATTACTTTTCCCAGGGCAACCGTTGCTGTAGAGACGGAACCTGTGGCCAGGTGGGCTGGGATGCGGACCCCTGACGGCTCGGATCTGACCTGCGGGCCGTAGTTTGAGCCCCCCCCCCGGACTATAGTATAATAACTTGGCTTTATTATTAAAGTCTGGGATTTTTGTGTGCATTAAGCAAGCTGTAAAGAGAGAGCAAGAGAAAGGAGTAGAATGATGTCAACTTATTCAAAGCTACTGAAGATATGTTTTTAATATTTTGTCGTATTGAAACTTAAGCGAGCCTCGCAAGGAACGAAACGTGTCCGCTGAAATGAGGGAACGTTTACGCTGTCACTGTGGGCAAAACATGTCTTCCCTCCTCTGCAGACTCTATGAACACAACACCCATCTGTCACAAACGGACACTATGTAGTACACAGCCCAATCCAGCTCTCTGTTACAGAACGTATACGTACACAAGTCACAAACGGACACTATGTAGTACACAGCCCAATCCAGCTCTCTGTTACAGAACGTATGTGCAAAAGTTGCATTTACCATTCTGTTGCAGACAATGTCAATGTGAAAGAAGTACATCTCGGTTACAGACCCCTGTGTACACAACCCTATCCAGCTCCCTGACTCTGTTACAGAACATATACGTACACAAATCGTTTGTACCATTCTTTCAAAAACAATATGAACGTTAACTATATCTTGGTTATAGACACTGTGTACACAACGTTACATAACCATATGTTGCAGACAGGGTGTAATGTGTCGTCTACACAACCGTACCATACTCTTGTGTTACATAGAGTCAGTGTGCACATAACCCTTAAAGTTACTTGCTACAATATCCAATTACTCTACTGAGTAGTACTAGTAGTATAGTGTGTTCACATAAACCTATCCATTCCTGCGATGCAGACAGATTCTTAACGGACACATGGCGTCACGTATTGATCTCTTCACTACTAGCATTTCAATGTACACACTGACACACTGACATTCCAATGAAGATAATTAAATGTGCACATTGACACCGCACACCCTGCGTACACATTGACACCATGCGTGCACATTGACATGCTCCTGTACACACTGACATTCCAACGTACGTACTGATATTCCCATATACACACTGTCTAAGACTGACCACACTCTATGTGCATACAAAATTAACAAAAACGATTTTATTGCTATTCCTCAATTGTGTAGAAAGCCACGATCCGTGAGTACACAAACGTACACATTCCCTCACCAAAATGCGTACGCACTTCCCCATCACGGCGCAACCGTCTGTGTTCACCTCGTCTGTTCTCGGTTCCATCTCACCTGAGTTACCATCTTACCTCGCGGGCACATGTGACTTTGATTACATGACTGACCGAGTCAACGCTGACATCAACCGGGGAAAAAAGCCTCCGTGGAATTTAGTATTGCATTTTTATTACCTTCACATCTACTACCCATTATTTGTGTGTGTTGCATTCTCCTATAACCCTTGTCCCCCATCCACCAAGTTACCTAACTAATAACAGACGCAATATTATGATTTAGCCACGCACTCCCCCCACCCCCTTTAACACCTCTCCGAACCTCGCGTTCATATCGTAAAGTCTTCATCAGAAAGGGTGTGTGTGTGGGGGGGGGGGCGCTCAAGCACAGGTCTGGATTAGGTACACACACACACACACACACACACACACACACACACACACACCGTTACAGGGGCGGAAACACCACGCTCCGTTACAGGGGCA